AAGAAAAAAAAACCAAGAGGGTTAAGGGGAAGGAGCACTCTTGGTGAGAAGAAAAATCTTCAATCCAAGGTTGGCCACGGTAGGAACAGCGTCTGGACGTCACACCTGGTCGATACTGGACATCTCATCGATGTCAACACAGCTTTCAGGGTTATATACCGAATTCCGAAGTCGTTATCACGTACAGTTCGCTTACGTCTCCTACACATAGCTGAAGCTGTTGCAATAACATCGAATAAACCGGGACTGTGTATCCAAAAAGAACACGTCCAGACGCTGTTCCTACCGTGGCCAACCTTGGATTGAAGATTTTTCTTCTCACCAAGAGTGCTCCTTCCCCTTAACCCTCTTGGTTTTTTTTTCTTTTTTACTTTGCTTATTATTATAAATATTATTATTATTACAGTTATTAATATCAGTAAAAAGTTTGAGCATTGTGGATTAGATCAAATAAAGTATAGTTATATTTCAATAATTTACACACAATGATAAGTTTTGTTATTGATATTACAGTTATTATTATTCGTCATAATTTATGCCCTTCATGCAAACATTCCCTCAATACTATCGAATTTTCATTTGTACGGACTTATTATTAGTGATATTATCTGTTTTCTCTCTCTCTCTCTCTCTCTATATATATATATATATATATATATATGATCAAACCGTGTGTACACTGTCAATTACTAACCTATTTACAAATTGTAAGTTTCACTTTGATACAAAATCATTGAATAAATCAAGGAAAGATATGAGGTAATAGCTGCTTCGCTCTTCCTCTAGTCTACTTACTACAACGATAATCTGATCGTTTTTTTGTTTTACTATGCTTTGATAGTCTGCTCTGAGAGGTCATGGCAAAAAAGGTCATCACAACTGCTTATTTTATTTTATATTTACTGGTCAGTTAGTTGAAACTAAAATTGTAGACAAGTGATGTGAACTCACTCACTCACTGACAAAACAAAATTATTGATTTCTTATATTGACTGATTTTAGCGGTGCACATTAGCGGAGCAAATAAAACAAGTATCAATAGGCATTTAATTATTTTTAAAAGTCAATCTGAACGAAGAATATTCTTCTCAATAATTCCTCCTCTTCAGGTACATACAATGATAAAGTATAATCATTTTTGTTGTTGTTACAATAATGGCCAGCTTGTTATGCGGCAGATACATTTTTTTAACGTAGAATAACAGATTATTTATGTATGAGGTGTCAAAATAAATAGTCGTATTTGTGTGTGACAAATGTGCTAGGCTGAAATCGATTAGAAAATATTGTAAAACGGGAGATAATGGTGGTGATTGGTCATAATAGATTCGTAGAATGGGGGTTAGGAACAATTGACAAGTCAGTTCAAGGTTATAAAAGTTGTCAGGTGGGTGAGTGGCTAGCACAAAATGGTATGTATTTAAGAGGAGATAGTAAGACTGCAATGAGAGGTTCACCATGAAATAATGAATGTATGAAATGAAACAGGTGGAGGCATGCATATATTGAGAAAAGAGATTATCACTAATAATAAGTTCGGATAGTATTGAGGGAATGTTTGCATGAAGGGCATAAATTATGACGAATAATAATAATGATTAACCACCACCATCGTCTTCCGTTTTACAATATTTTGTAACCGATTTCAGCCTAGCACGTTTGTCACACAAATACGACTATTTATTTTGACACCTCATACATAAATAATCTGTTATTCTACGTTAAAAAAATGTATCCGCTGCATAACAAGCTGGCCATTATTGTAACGACAACAAAAATGATTATACTTTATCATTGTATGTACCTGAAGAGGAGGAATTATTGAAAAGAATATTCTTCGTTCGGATTGACTTTTAATTCATAATATGGGAATATTTCACACTATCAAATTTAATCATTTATTGATTGCAATGTAGAATTCATCATTGATTGACATCATTTACAGAACTGTTTAAAGTCTAGACAGTTGTTTCGTCCTCGTTGGGGACTCTTCATGGGTGCGGATGAGTTCATATTTCCGGAGAATCGAACTCTTAACGTTTAGGTTACGAGATTAACCCTGGCAGGATTGCTGATGTACACTTATGATGACTGCCATACTTAGTACGAAATAACTGTTGTTCAATGTTCCGTGATTTTCGATTATTCTCTAACTTGTGTGATAGTTTGTGACAATGCGTGATCCCCCTCACTTGACTGATATGACTTGTTGTTGTTAATGCCTTAATAAACAACCGCGCCTTAATTACCTCCTAGGACAGATAACTGCAGGGTTTGATGGAGCACTGCGATGAGCAACACGCCATGTAACGATAGAAGTCTAGGACCAGGCAACAGATCGTTTATTGAAAACATCAAGAGATATTTATAGATTTTTATATACATTATTGTTAGTGGAGAAGCAACCTCTTCTGATTGGTTGTTTTCTTGTTCAGGGTTATTCTGTACTTGTGACCGTTTCTTAGAAAGTTAAGCCGTATATCTGTGAATCGTATTTGCACATGTTAAGTCTGCTGTGATTGGTTGGTGATATTCTCAAGATTAAGCTTTGTTATTGTTTTTTCTCATGACCCTGATTCGAGTGGTGAACATTGACGTAAATTGTTATCTACAATTTTGGCTTGCAGACAGTTCTCACCACAATGTAAGAATCCTACAGCCATGCTGGAGATGTGCCTAGAATACAAATCAAAGTATTGCATTAAATCCATTAAGTCTTTGACTGTCTATTTCAGACATGTTAGGGAGTTGAAGACCGACTAGCTGGTGATCTCAACCGTGTGAATGTATTCCCTCTTTATTAACTCACAAATATATGCTATTCTCATTATTCTGTATATGCTTATTCTCTTCATCAGTACATTGTTGTCATTACAGTCCCTTAAAGTTTGTTTGTTTTTATATACTATTGTGTGCTATATGAGGTGTGGCAGCATGACTTATTACTACGTTAGAATCTCAGCTCAGCAGCCTTCTCAAACCTCAAATTTTCTAGAGTAGTTTTTAAAAAAATTCAGTAAAACACAAGGGAAGTAATAGTTATCACGAACTCACTCTAACACGAAATCATCAATTTTGCATGAGTTATACACGTCAACTATTTCATGTGGGAATCAAATGTAACAGTACAAAAATAATAATAATGAGTTAGGTAAGCTGAAGTCTCCTGTTTCATCCTAGTTTGGGACTCCTCATCAGTACGCGCCGACTGAGGTTTGGATCCAGGACCTTCCGGTTACAAGGCAGGCTGGTATACTCTTCAGCCACTGGGAGCCGATTCAGTCGTGACCAATGAGGTCCATCGAGCTGGGACAATGGTTGGTGGTCGTGCGAAAAATTACGAATTTGTAGAAGCTAGGTTTCATGGGCTGGCCTTTGATTTGAGTTCCAGTAGCTGAATGGTATACAAGTTTGCCTTGTAACCAGTAGGTCTTCGGTTCGAAACTCCTTGTGTGGGTGTATACTGCTGATGAGACAGCTGTCCAGTACTCCCTGGCTAGTTTTCTATTGTTCTGTAAATGATGCCATTCCGTGGTCAAACTCGAAAAGCAAATCTAATCCTTACAAATCAACTCTTGAAAGCCGATGACTCTTCGATGGTAGACTCGCGTACTGATTTTCGCCTAAGAATACACTTGCTTAGCGAATGAGTGACCGATTGAGATAGAGAGAGGGAGAGAGACAAAATATAACTTAATATATTGATTTGTGATTTACTTGACTTTTGATAAGAACCTTGAACCCTGTTTAGTAGTTAATGTTCTTGGAACATGTATGCAGCTGATAGGATCCCACACATTTTGGTATTGACTGTTAATCTCGCATATATGGTATATCATCATTCTCACACATTTTGTTATTGACTGTTAATCTCGCATATATGGTATATCATCATTCTCACACATTTTGTTATTGACTGTTAATCTTGCATATATGGTATATCATCATTCCCACACATTTTGTTATTGTCTACTACGATCAATTATTTCAAATGCTGTTAGCTGTCTATATTGTTGTAAAATGTATAAATACCATGACTTTCTTTGTCGTTATTGTTGTACTACAATACACAGTCCAGTCTTTGTCTGTTGATATTTGCGTGCTTCACTGAATCGGAAGGTACCACAAGCAGATAGGCATATTAGTCAGGTGCAGACAGAACAAGGCGACAACGTCCTCATTTAATTCCCTACCGTTATAACAGCAGCATCATTAGACTTTTCGCGATATGTGCAGATGTAACTATGTGATTCTGTCAATTCTGAATTTCCGGATATTGGATTTCAAATGTTCATTCTCTTTTAGGCAGAAGTATTCGCCAAGTCATACTAACAGAGTAATGCTAATAAAAAGTGAATTATTTCTGTGACTATGATATGTTTATTATTCTCTGCTTTGAGCCAGAATTTGAAACGACGAGTAAGGCGTCCGAGGGTGACATGGAGGAGATCAGAGACTATAGATAATCGTGTGGCTAACTAAAGAGGACCACAGAAAATAAGAGAACAAAATGGAGACGTGCTGCTGAAGAACAATAGTACTATTAATACGTACGTTCTATTCCACTCATTTCTTGGCTGTTCCGTCCAACCTCTTCACATTTTATCTTCTCTTTATCACACTCTAGGACGCCCCACTCTTCGTTTCCAATATGTGTTCCACCCGAGGACGTGGGCATGTAATATCACTCACCGCTCTCATCAATGTATATCCAATCTGTCTCCATTTCGTTCTGCATATTTTTTAGGTGATAAGTTCTTTGTTAGATGGTTTCCAGAGTTCCTTGGTGTTTATTCTTTCTTGTCAACCCCATTTAACCCCCCCCCCCCCCGGAATATGGTTTGCTTAGTTCCCACTTTTATGATTTTTATTTTTCCGTCCATTAATTCAAACAGAGAAAGTTTGCGCCAATCAGTGAAAGAACATTCCTCGTCTTTAATTAGCTTGTCTGTTGTTGTTTTTTTCTAACTTGATTTTCTCTTCTATTTTTCAATATTTAGACACGTAAAGAGGCGTATTGGTTAGATGGTAAAATGAATTTGGATGGGCATAAGGTGTTTATCCTTTCTGGTGATTTGGATGTTTCAGATCGTGATAAAGTTATCGAAGATTTTCGTTCATCACGTTTTAGAGTTTTAATTACTACTAATATCTGTTCACGAGGTTAGTTCTTTGTCCCACATATTTTTCTTATTATTATTATTACTTATATTCTCACAATTCTGTATGCAATTCAAAAATATTCTGGGTTCGAGTCCTGACCTACATACTCTTAAATCACACTTTCTTCGGCAATAATAACCTTGCTAACAAGAGAAGGTTGAAGGGAGTGTGTGGCTAGCCACCTCATTCCTGTTAAAACGCCCCACTAACAAGATCACGGTTACTGAGACGAAACTTCAAAACTGAGAGCTTGAAGCCGTATGAACACAAAGGAATGTTAATGATGGTGATGATTCAAATATACTGATTGTAACTATAATTATTATAATAATTATTATTATTATGTTCAAGCAAGCAGAACACTGTCCGCAGTATAAAGGTGTGCACATTTTCTATTTTAACACTTTTCATCTGTAAATAGCCTGAAATTTTTTTTTTTTTTAAGTGAAGAAGACCTGTTGGAGAAGTGTTAGCGAATATCCCACAACAAAATGCTGACCAACCAACAACAACATACCGAAAAAAAGATTAAATAATACAATATGCAAAAAAGGCTACATAATACTTAAGTGTTGGTTTACAGGGGTTTGAATAGTTACAGTATTTCATCATGAGCTGAAATCGGTGCGAGAACGATTGGAAAACCAGCAGGAAGTACTGGACAGTCGTCTCGGCCTAGTTTTAGACTCTCCAGCATTATGTGCATCCACTGGGGCTCTAGCTCCATGGCCTACTAGCTCGCCTTGTAACCGAAAGGTTCTGAATTCGAATCTTGGTGAGCACTTACTGCTGAGGAGTCCCAAACTAGGTTGACGAAACTGCTGTCCAGTACTTTCTGCTGGTTTTCCAATGGTTCTCTAACCGATATCAGCTCATGATGAAATCTTGAAAGCATATATAATTTGGTTAAGGTTGTACAGGTCAGTTGTCTTATAAGTAGATCTACATTTCTCAATAAGCAGGCTGATGTAATCTCGATTCATATCCACGAAATGAATCATTTAGTTTTTATCAAATAGTACCACTTGTAGATCGTGTGAGATATCCCGCTCCTCATTGTAGTCTACATATAATCTTGAGTAAAACAACCAAAATTAGTCAGTCAAGAGTCAGATATGCCTAGAACAGTTTGTTATTTAAGTAAGCTCAATTGCTTGGAACATATACCAAGCTAAGTGTCATACTTACTGTGTGAGAAGACTGATAATACTATCCAGTTGCTCAGATTGAAGTAGGTTTGGCCGAACTCGAATTCGTGACCTTCATTAGCTGAAAACTGACTGTTTAAGCCAATCAACCATATCTTCACAGTCTGAAACAGAGCTTGAAGTCATCTCTTTGTACACCTTTTTTTAATCAACTGCGGAGTCCGAGTATTCTCCCAATGATGGTTATTCTATTGTCTATTGTTATTCTTTCTACCCTTTAAGGTTTGGATATTCCACAGGTGAATTTGATTATTAATTGGAATATGCCGACAACGCGGAGTGGTAATGCTGACTGGGAGACGTATTTACACCGTATCGGAAGATCAGGTCGATTTGGCAAAGAAGGTGTAGCAGTCAATTTTATAACAAGTGATGAAATGTATCTGATAAAAGAATTAGAATCACAATTTGGTGAGTATGTTTCGTAGGATATGTAAATATATAAAGTTCTTAGAGTTAAATGTTATAATTGGAAAGGTTTTGTTATTTAACAGGAGATTAATTGTGAGTCCGAATAGTTCATTGGTAGCGTCTCTAACTCCTCTGCAGCGCTTCGTGACGAGGGTTCGGACATATGAGGTTGCCGATATGCCCTACAGATAAGTACCAGCAAGCATTTCAAAGTGCACTTAACTCGACCACCATGTCGACTGATAAAATTCAGTCAATACAAACAACAAAGGTTAGACACGTGACATTGATTACTGCTTCATAACCAGTTTATTGTGATGTTAGTTTTTAGAATACGTTGGAAAGTGTGGATTTCCAGTGATTTGATTTATTTGAAGTTTGATCACAAAATAGCTTCTGTTAGGGAACCATTTAAAACCAGGAAGTAATGGATTGTTTCATCCCAGTTTGGGACTCTTCAACAGTGCAAACCCTACCCGAAATTGAACCCAGCGCGAGCTCATTTACCATTCACCCACTGGATAGGAATTCACCAGTCCATTAGTCATATCCATGCAAAACAACGCTCTCGAGTGATAGACGACTCCAAAATAAAGTTGTGGTGAGGAGTCATGACCGATGGGGTTTACCAAGTTGGTTGTGGAAACAAATGCTCCCCAGCGATATTGACTGGTAGTTGTGCTTTTTATCAGAGAATAGCTAATAGTTGTCTAAGTAAGCTCTGTGTTTGTTATTAATAGTCCACGAAATTCATGATCGTTGATGTTATTTATTGAGAATTGGATGTCGGTTGTGTCCAGTCAATTCCAAATTATAAAAAAGAGAAGACGTTCTTTTCGGCGGATTCATTCACATATCTGTACAGTCGCATTTATATGCAATTGTTTTGTGTATGTGTCTGTACATGTGGTTTGTCAAGTTTTGATGATTAATTAGGTAGTACAAGAATGATTTAATATAGAAACAAGTTTAATTAGACAGCAACTAAAGTAAGATTGAGTTAGTTAGTAAGTTAGATGACGCAATATAATTGAATAAAATGTTTCAACTTAGGTCAGGGTAGCAACAGAGGTAATTACAGGTAGAGACTAGGTAGAAGTGTGGTAGAGAATAATACCATTTAAATTAGGACCGAAATTGAGCGAATAAATTGGGTGACGTAACATAAATGACTAGAAATTGAGCGTTGGTCAAGTCAGTAACAGTGGTAGTGAGGTGTAGAAATTAAATCGGGTGCAGGTAGAGAACAAGTTGAAATTGTAAAATATTACAATTGAGAAGACAAAATAATACTAATGAAGAGACAGAAAAAAAGATTAGGTAGAATTTAGTTGTCGGGTAATAAGATAGATTACGTCCATTGCAAGTGTAGTGATTGGACAAACTAATGTATGCAAAGTTCAGAACTTAGCAAGTGAATCGCGATTGCTTCTGCAGTTTGAAGAAGTCTGATTCGTACACCTTTAGGAAGACTACTTCTTACTCTGTAGACGACTTTGAAGTTTGCTTGGGGTGTAGCTTGGTGTCCGGATTCTGTCAGATGTTCTAAGATGGAGCTGCGGGGACATCGTTTTTTTCCTTTGTAAAACCATGTTGGTAAGTGTTTAGTGATACGTTTGGAAAGCGAATGCTAGGTAGGGCTGACATACCTGGCTCCACACGAGCAGGTGAATTGGTAGATACACATTGATGAGGCCAGGAGTGGTAGTTTATCCTTCACGTTCATACGAATCATAGGTTTCTTGGAGAAGGTTAATCGTAGTTCAGCTGTGAAGAAGGTTTTCTTAAGTGAACGGGACAGTCGATTTTTCAGTGTTTCCGTAGATGAATCTACATTGAATTGAAGGTTCATGTAGAGTAGTTTTTTCAGGACGCTAAGCGTGAGTGTCTTTTGCGAACCAATCAGAAGACAAGTTTCCTGCCACACAAATCGAGATTCATTCGATTTTATTGACTCAGTAGAAACGTCAACGTATCTAACAAGACCATGATTTCATTAGGTGTCACGTCATTGTTCACAAACGTCCCACTGACTGAAACAATATGCTACATATGCGAACTTATTCACTCAAAGGGAATAAACATCGGTATACCCACTGAGGGTCTTAAAGAAACTTCTGCTGAGATGTACCCTGAATGTTCAATTCTATTTCTATATTAAATCATTCTTGTACTACCTAATTAATTATCAAAACTTGACAAACCTCATGTACACACACACACAGAGAGAATTCATTATATATAAATGCGACTGTACAGCTATGTGAATGAATTCGCCGTCGAAAAGAGCCTCTTCGCTGGACGTCTTCTCTTTTTCATATGACTCAATGGGTATTTTTAAGCTACACTTCCAAATTAAATACGGTGAGATTGTGCGAATTCAAGATATCTACCTGTTTATGTATTCCCGAAACTGCAGGTAAACTTGTAGATACAGTGCACAATAGAGGCCATAGAATTTCGTCCTTTAATCGTAAGCAAAGGAACTGAATATGTCTGAGGTGTAAGGAAAAACGACATTGCGTAGATTGTGCATTTTATAGCTAACTGTCTGTCTGTTTTCGACATAGAACTTTGCACCGATGTGCAACAGTTCGAGTCGTCACATTCCCTCCACGTAGCACACAAAGCAAGAGAATAAAGTAGAAGGAATGCATAATAAAAACAGTAAACAGAAGTGTGAGACAAAGGAATAGTAATAATGAAGAACAACATAGTTTCATTGGAAATCATAAGTCACAAGGAGTGGATGTATCTGCGCCAGCCAGCCATTGAGAACGATTTCGAGCCATATCGCCAATTGTATCCAGCCGCCATTGGTTTTTAGCGTCCCGAGGACCCCAACCAGGAAGTCTACACCTTCCTACATGGCTGGCTTAAACTAACTGTTGACTGGTGCCATGTTTTCGTTTGACCATCGCTAGCCCTTTTGCAGCCTGACCCTATGTCAGCTAACATTGCACATTGTCAAGGAAGGCGATGACTAGGGATGCGTGCGTAACACATGTCATAACCATCTCAGTCGATGTAATTTCACAGCCTCATCGATCGATTTCCTCTCCTCCTTACCTAGCACTCACTGTTTCCCTAACTTCAATATTGCTCACCTTACTATACCACTTCACACGGGAGATGGAGCGCAGGCACCTATGATCAAAGACAGCTAATCTTTTCATGTCTTCTACTCTCAATGGCCAGGTCTCACAGCCATAAAGGAGGTTGGAGCGGACTGATGAGCAGTACACCCGCCCTTTGGTCGATTTATAGCTAACTGAAGCCTTTCATCTGTCAACTGTATAGTATCCGTCATTCTTTGGAACGGAAACAGTCTCCATTTTTCACTAAGACATACAATGAAGTTTTCAGGATATCAGTTAGTCAAAGAAACTGAATGTGTATACGTTGCAGCTCATCCATGAATTTATCGCTTGTGGAAATATTACGTAAGACCTTGAAAGTAAACATTTCACCAGGAAACGTTTTCACCGGATATGCACAAAACTGCTGATGTGATAATATTGTCCACTTTATGTCTACTACTTGCAAACTAGTGATCACTCTTAATTGTTCTTTCGTCCAGTCAGTCTAGTCATCTAAAATCCAATTTTCGCTGTTCATTTGAAATTCACAAGTCATTCGAGTATTTGAACAAGTAGTATTTTAAACAGAGTAATGAGGTTTAATTGAAATTTAGATTTTCCCGTCGACTAATTGGACCAAAGTGCTCGGTCTCACGTTGATATGTCGGCTTCTTGTACACCTGTCTGGGCATTTAATTAGTATTTAATTGGTGGATGGTGACTAGCAGTGGAATCTAGGATAAAGCGCATTTCGTCCGACTTGGGACTCGTCAGTTGGATGTACCTGCATTTACCAGTGAGTGACAATGTTCCCACCACTGAGGCTCGAACCCAGTGCCCGTAGTTTCAAACTCCAAAGCGTTATCCACTAGGCCACGAGAGCCACCTCTTGCGCAACGCGTCATGTTAATTTAATTTAATTTTAGATTTTCGCGTCGATTGGTTTGACTGAAGTGCTCGGTGTCAGGTTTACATGTCTGTTGGCTTCTCGTGCAGTAATGGGGTTGTTAATTGACTCACCAATAATTCCATCTTGTCGACTTATATTTCTACACTGTGACTAACCACTATTCCTTACTTGTTTCCAAGTCAATTTCGATTTTCCCATTGATTCAACTGAAATACTGAGTGTCTTTTGTTGATTATATCGGCTCCCAATAGTGGGGGAGTGGTTACTTCGACAATGTTTGAAGATTAACCAATAACCTCATTTTAGTGAATGGTTACTTCCAGTGAAATCTAAGACATGCACCTGTTTCGTCCTATTTGGCACTTATCTACTGGATATGCCTGCATTCCCCAGTGAGTGGTAGTGGTGGCGGCGGTGTTCTTTTGTGAGACTCCAAACCTTAGTAATCACTGTTCCAAACGCCAAATTGTTATCCACGTGAGCCACTCTCAATTCCACTGTTGATCACCGTCCACTAAGCTTATATTCCTAATATTTATCACATTCTGTCTTTATTTATTGATTTCTTTTCTTTTTCTACTTTTTGGGTTTTATTTTTAGAAATAGAAATTCCCGCGTTGACATCTGAAGATTTAAACAAATTTTGAAAATATTCATATCGACAGTTAACTGGTTAAAGCCCTTGCCTTATTTCAATTTGTTCATTCGTAAATATTTTTTTGATTTTGGTCTTTTTCCACGTTGTATATACAGTTATATAAATTCCTTAGATCTCTGCTCTACTATACTTTGTGCTTTTCTTGATAAGAATCTTTTCTCCTTTTTTTCTACTTTTGATACTGAGAGTAATTATCATTATTATTATTACTTTTTATTTTTTGTCATTTTTTGCCTTTGTCTTATTTATTACCTTCGTAACCTATAGAAACAGACGCAGTGAAAGTTGAATTGTTTTTACGCCTACTGTCGTTGTGTGGTTGTTGTTATTTGTCTCGCCTCGCTCTCTCTCTCTCTGTCATGAAATTATCCAATAATTAAACACATACCACTTTCTTTTTTTATGATTTAAAAATGGCTTACACTTTAATCACATAACCAATTATTTCTTCAGATGTTATAATACTAATTGAAATTCTAGGAGTCAGGAGTGAAGCTCTATGGGGTTCTCCTGCATGACTTATTAGTTTGGCGACAAGAATCAGTTAACATGTGATCAGATGACTGTAAAATTTCATCATCTTTTTCTCTTTCCACCTCGGTTGAATCGCCAACCAACCAATCAGAATGCTTGTTTTCTATTGACCTGTAACAACAGAAGACAAGGGCCGGAAACAGATCGTTTTATTACAGAAATCAGCACGTATTTATATATATATATTTCATGTACATTAGTATAGCTTATTCAAGCAGGTAAACACAGTCTTCTGATTGGTTGCTTCTGGTTTCTCGGAAAGTTAAGCCATATATTTGCGAATCTTGTTAGCCCACGTTAAGTCTGCTGTGATTGGTTGTTGAATCAGCCCTGTTCATATTTTCTCACTGCCGATATTAGTGACCCAGACATTGACGTGAGTTAATGTTTACCAAGTGGCTAGCAGCCTGCTCTCACCACACTTGTCCCCCCGTCAAATAGTTTGGACTGAATTCGGTTTGATCTTCTTGGTGCTATTCCCCTGCGTCGGTGGCACAGCAGTTAGGACTCTCGCCGATCATGCACATGGTCCGTGGTTCGATCCCCTGCCGGCGCACACCTGATATCTACGATCAGTCTGTGAAATTTGGGCTACCGATATCACATGCTGAAAATTCTATACCTGTACCAAAAATATGGTGTGGAATCAAGCTGTAATCAAAAATAAAATACTACTCACTATGTGGTGACAGCAGGCTGCTAGCCAAATTGGTAGGCAATTACTTATGTCAATGTTTGTGTGGCTAATATTGGTCGTGAGAAAGTATGAACAAGAGTGATTCAACAACCAATCACAACAGACTTTGCGTAGGCAGATACAGTTAACATATAGGTGACCTAACATTCAAGAAACCTTCACAAAGAGATGCAAAGTCAGCTTTCCGTGAGAAACAACCAATCAGAAGAGTGTGTTTGTTTGCTTGAATAAGCTATAATAATGTACGTGAAAATATATAAATACGGGTTGATTTCCTTAATAAACTATCTGTTGCCTGGCCCTTGTCTTCTGTTTTTACAACTATATTGTACCAATTATCTTTGGTTAGATACAACTAAGCTTTTCTTATCTTAAACTTTCGAAGGCCACGTCTCACAGTTATAAAGGGGGGACAAAGTAAACTGCCATGTAGTACGCACATCTCCTTGGTCGATTAAAAAACAAGTGGTTAATGAGTCATTTTTTCTTAAGTCATGTTTCTAAATGCACTCCTTATCTGCTGTGGCTAAACCAAAAGCGGTGGGAAGAGTACTACACATGACTTGTTCGTACTTGGATATATAACAGGAACTTCAAGTTCATCCAAATTCTTATAAATGGTTTAAAGTTTCAGTTCTAAGTAACATGTAGGCTTGCGAAGAACTTGTGTATGAACAGTGTAAGATAGGTGATCAATTGTTTTCGAGGCTCGGACAAAGCTTAACTGGGGAGAGTATATCACTATTATAGGTTTTAAGTAATCATTGAAGGCATTCAAAATAATCAGACTGACAGACAGATAAATGAAATTCAGCTTGTCATGTTTTGCTAAGGTGATCGCCATCAAAAGCTTTACAGCAAAATTTATATATGCAGAAAGGTACAATGGTGAATTTGAATAAAGCAAGATCAACAGTGGTTTGTACAGTGATGGGTGAACTTTGCACTGTCGTGACGATGAAGTTGGAAAACACAAAATTTTGCAGTTTTATTACTGAAAACAAAAACACGTAGTTCACCGAAGAGTCTCTTTTCAGAGGCAAATTCATTTTTTTAGCTGTACAATTGCAAATGCATGTGTTATTTTTATGTACGTGTACATTAATTTTTTCAAACAAAATTACAATTGGTTAAGTTTATTTTAACTAAACAGGTGCAGATTGGTAATACAAGTCAAGAAAATAAGGTGTTCATGAAATTAGGGTAGTAATGAACGAAATATTCCCATATTGAGTCATAAGAAAAGGCACAAACAGCGAAGAAAATTTTCATTTCGATGATTCATTTTCATGAGCTGTACAATCGTAATTATAATTAAACACAAGTTTTTTTCGACCAATCAGATACTGGTAAACTTTGTCCTTAAAAATTTTACTACATAATGTGAGGTGTAAGAAGGGATAACTAATCGTAAGTTAGAAAGGAGACAGAAGTTGGCATGACGTAATAAGTGTGAGATAATGACTAACCAATAAGCTAGTGTAGAATGGACGGGAACTAGTGAAAAGGCTATAAATTATTTTTGTATAAGATCTGTGTGGAAAAAGCAATGTTATTAATAAACAGTAATAGAATGGTAATAAAATATGGGTGGTGGGAATAGTAATAATAATAAAAGTATTAAGAACAGTAGTAATAATAATAACAATAATAATAATAGTGAACTTACATATTAAAAGAGAGGAGAAAAATTATAGTAAGAAGTTTACTCTGGCCATGGTAGGGCTAGAGAATGTATGTATCGTTTTTGTATGCATGGGTCCGGTTTTAGGTCACGAATAGCTAATGCCTCGGCTATGTACAGATGTCGTATCCGAAGTCCTTTTGTACGATATTGAGGGACTCTGTGTACCACTGTGAAGCATTCGTGTGGGGGTGCTCGATGTCTGGAGATAACAAGGTGTTCGAGGATTGAGCTGTTGCTATTCTTCTTTTCTCCTCTGGCTGGTTAACCAAGCTGGGCAGTGTTCCAGGATACGTTTGTGGACTTGACTTTGCGTACGGCCGACATACTTTGCTCCACACGAGCAAGTGAATTGATAAATACACATTGAAGTGGCCAAAGGCGGTATCTTGTCCTTAACGTTAGATTGGATTAACTGTCTGCAGGACGCCATACATGTGTGGCAAACGGGACCCTCGGGGTTTCAAATCATTGTACGTGTTGTTGTCAGTCAATTTCTTCTTTAGGAGATCTCTCAAGGCGTTTGTGATACGTTTTTCGACAGCATCTGTCTTATCTTTCTGGCAACTGTCAACTTTAAACCTCAACGGGTCATTTAACACAGCTTTCATCGTTGCGATGTAGTCGTCTTTGTCCATCAGCACCACACCTGAGCCTTTTTCAGGTCTCAATATAACAATTTTGTCATTATTCTTGAGAGCTTTCAATGCTCTTAGATGCTCTTCAGAAAGGACTTTGGAATATGACGTTGGAGAAATGAGGCATTGATTTGCAACGTCGACGAGCTTCGATTTGAACCAGCTCCTCTTGTCATCATCAACTGGAGTGAGGTCACTCAATTGATAGAATAAGTTTTCGAATTGAACTGCGACATCAGTCCTTTCGACAAACTTATTTGGGATGTGAAAGTTAAATCCAAGAGAAAGTGCTTCCATATATTGTGCAAAAGTGAAAGTCATACTTCACACTTACTAAGATTATTCAATGGTGCACACGCCAATTTTGAGTTCACTATGGAACATGAAAGTGACGGAAAGTTTCACTTCCTCGACATCGCCATGGAACGCCTAGAAGACGGTAGTCTTCAAAAGTCAATTTATCGAAAGCCCACATGGAAGAAGATATTATTATCAGACCACGGTGATTTCGAGAGAATAATTGTGGTTTCGATAAATTCTCCCTCAGCATTTACACAGTTATAAGTTCATGAATATTAGAATACAAATAACGCCAGTAAAGACATGTGAAAATTATATCGGAAACGGTATTGTTGGGGTACATGTATAGTATACAGTGATAGTTCACCAATTAATACTGTCAAATAAACTTATGTAAAAAAAATGTGCATTCATTCAAACCATAAGATAAAGTGTAAATATTTAAAACAATTAGTCCCTATTATAAATTTGGATAGCGTTATTAGAAAATGGAGATTATTAATTCTTTGTTTACTAATGTACCATTGGTTAAGACTGTTGATATTCTTTGTGACTATACATCTTCTAGTTGTTTTTCATGTCCTTTTCCCTTAACTTATCTGAAATATCTATTACTATTATGTACTGACAACGTTCATTTCACGTTTGAAGGTGAACATTGTCGACAAGTGGATCGTGTCGCTATGAGGAGTCCATTAAGACCTTTGCTAGCAGACGTTTACATGTCTTATGTGTTAAACTTATCCTTTGATTTAATTTCTAAACTGCGCTTCTATACGAGATATGTAGATGATATCATTTTGATATGAGACGATCATGAAGATGTGAGTCGTCTATTTGACAGACTTAACTTTGTACTGAATCATATAAGTCTTATATGCGAGGAAGAAAGTTGCAACCAGCTTGCATTTTTTAGACATATTTCTGAGTCGAAGAGATAATGGTTCAATTAGACGATCAATCTACAGAAAGCCCACTTGGACAGGGCAATACCTTAATTTTCACAGCTTCTGTCCATTACAGGATAAGAGAGGCTTATTGAAGTGTCTATTTAAGAGGATTCAGCGTATTTGCACTGCTGATGTCATAGACAAAGAAAACGAAATCTTGATGGATACTCTTGTTGAAAACGGATATCCTTTAAAATTTTTAAACAGGTGTAGAAGTCAGTTAGTCTTTAAACCTACAATCCATACCTCCTCTAAGAAAAATGTTTTCATCGAATTACCATAAAACGGGGAAATAAACTGTAGGATTTTGAGACAACAGTTGAATTCGGTCATCCATAGGACCCATTATGCAGTCCGGCTTGTAATTATCGAAAATATCAAAAATATGCTCCACTGCAATCCTCAAAATTGCAAAGGTGATGATGTCACATCCCACACTATTTACCAATTTTCGTGTGTGTGTATGTGGTCACACCTAGGGAGTAGTAGTAGGGAGGAGTAATCGCGCTTTGCACGTGAGGGTGGAATAGCATATCACGAAATGGCTAGAAAAACAAATGAATTGTGACAAGCCAATAGATGCATGTGTCAGACTATCAACTTCGTCTATAGCTAAACATCTAATCGAAATGAACCATAAGACTGATATCACCTCAGCCTTTAAGGTCATCTATAAAAACGGTCAAGGGCGTTTATTGAAATACACTGAGGCTATAGCTTTTCATAAAAGTAAGCCCCCCTTGTGTATTCAAAAACAGTTTGTTATTACTCTTAACCTACCTTGGTAATAATTATTTGATTGGATTACCAAACGTTGTGTTAACCATTCTTTTTTTGTCACTTTGTTTAAAATAACTTTTTCATATATATCGTCTTGAGTAGTAAATGTGTGATCAGATTAAAAAAATTTTTTTTTGATTACAGATTGTTCGAAATGTCTTTTTTTCTTTCAGATAATCTTCCATAGTTTGATTTGTAAGGATTAGTTATGTTTTTACGAGTTGATCACGGATTGATATCAGTTAGAGAAGCGTTGAAAACCAGCTGGGAGTACTGGACAGCCAGCTGTTTCATCCTAGTTTGGGAATCATCGGGAGTACGCACCCACTGACAGGTGTCGAACCCAGGACCTTCCGGTTACAAGGCAAGCTCGTATACCATTCAGCCACTGGGACCCGATTCAATAGCCAATTCATGAATTCTAACTTCCACCAATTCGTGATTTAGCGCGACTCCAACCATTGTCGTTGGTGGGACATCCATCCACACACGTGACATCTAATTGGACCTCACTGGTCACGACTTCTCACTAGAACTTACTGCAGGAAACTCCAACCTGTAGTAAGTCACTAGCGAGCATCAGATTAATTTTCTATAGTTTGGTTTGTAAGGATTAGTTTCAGATCATCTCCCTCTGCTAATAACGCTATCCAAAGTGTAAACAGACATAAAAGCGTGACATACTAACTGCATTTATAGTCAACAGAATATAACTTTCATTGGTGAAGCCAGAGTGTGAGGGTGAGTAATACTCAATGTTGTGTGTGTGAGGAAAATGATTACCACAAAGGACATACAAATAAATACCAAAACAAATGGGGAAGCAAGCAAGGGCTGACAGATATCAAGTGTAGGTGATAAAATCAATAGGTAAAATTGTGAACTATAACAAAATAAAAAATATTTAGAGCGAAGAATTGTGTGGTTTCAATAAATTCTTCCCTCC